CCATGTGCATGTATCTCTTGGTATCTGAAGAAACAAAATACCTTTAGTATACAATGGAACTGTTAGCTGTGTGTGAAAATGTGGATACCTTTACAATATAAGCCCCTTGACACAGAAGCCTCTTTTTTGTGGGTTATGGCAGTATATAAACATCAATAATCATAGCTGCTTAGGTAATATGTGTTCCATGTAACAAATGTATTTTCCCTTGCATTCAAGTTCTCTTTGAAGAAAGATAATACAACAAAGGAAAAATCTGCTGCACTTGCATAAATCCAGGAGAGCTGGGATTTCTACAGCTGGAGTGCTAATATCCAATCCTTCAATGCACAGGGGCCAAACACCGTGCTACTATGCAGCCTTTATTCCAGCCCAGGGGTGGCTAAAACACCTGTAGTCATTTTATACTGGTTCTGTGAGGTCACATGACCACTCCCCTGGCACACCACTGGCTTCATCATCTGGGTCTTCACAGTCATAGATTTTAAGGCTAGAGTGGATTAATGTGATTAAGTCTGACCCTCTACATAACTTGGGCCATAGAATCTTACCCAGTAATAACTGCATCAAGCTCATAAGTTGTGGCTGAGGTGGGGTATATCATTTAAAAAAGCAGTCATTATACACAAATTGATGTGGCTCCAGGATAGAGGCCCTTTTGGACATCACACTAGGGCATGAATGCTCCCATGGAAAGCTGCAGTTCCTCCACACAGCTCCTATTGTGGGCTGAAGTGCTGTGAGGGTCTTGTATTGGCCCTCTGTGCCACGGGTGAATTTCATTCTGTTTGAACAGCATTATTCCTCCAGATCCACAATGAATGAACTTTATCCCTCCTTGCATAAAGCTGGAAAGAACAGGGCTTGTGTGGGACCCGTGCATAACTTAGGCAATGGAATCCACCCTTCAAGCCACACACGCAGAACACTGTATGCAACACTGAACTCTCTGTAGAGGTTCCTGTTCCTGCTTTCATTCCTGTCACTCATTTCACTCTGTAACACTCTGCACCAGAATTTTCAGAGTAGTTTCAAAACTCACTTCTGGGGCAGACATTAGGGCATTGTGGTCTCATCTCACAGTAGTCAGCACACAGCACAGAACCTTTCCACAGAACTGTGGTCCCCACATTATTGAGGATGCTGTCTGAAAACACCAAAGTACAAAAGAAAAAAAAAAGGTTTAACATTGCAGTAACATGCCAGCAAACACAGATTCACAAAAGTTTAGGGCTGAAAGGGACCCTGTGAGATCATTGGGTCCAGCCCCCCTGCTCTGGGCAGGAAAGACTGTTGGGGTCAAATAACCCCAGCAAGGTGTGCGTCCAGTCTCCTTTTGAAAATCTCCAGGGTAGGTGCCTTCACCACCCTCGCTGGGAGTCTATTTTAGAGTCTGATCACATAAACAGTGAAGAAATTTTTCCTTATATCCAGTCTGAAGCTTTCTTCTAGGAGTTTATGACCATTGCACCTGATTCACCCCTGGGGTGCTTTGGCGAATAGCTGTTCACCTAGTCTCTGATGCTCATTGCTGATGTATTTGTAAGCTGCCACCAAATCCCTCAAAGTCTTCTCTTTTCTAGGTTGAACAGTCCTATATCTGTCAGCCTTTATTCATATGGCTTGCTCTTCAGGCATCTAATCATACGTGTGGCTCTTCTCTGGAATCTCTCAAGTTTTTCCACATCTTTCTTGAAGTGTGGTGCCCAGAACCGGATGCAGTACTCCAGCTGCGGCCTCACCAATGCCAAGTAGAATGGGAGAATAACTTCCTTAGTTTTGCTTGAGATGCATCAGTTGACGCATACCAGCATATTGTTTGCTCTGCCAACTGTAGCATCACACTGGTGGCTCATATTCATTTTATGGTCAATTATGACCTCCAGGTCCCTTTCAGATATGGTGCTAGGTAGCGTAGCACCACCGAACCTGTAAGTTTGTTGCAGATTTTTCCTCCCCAGGTGAAGCACTTTACACTTCTCGGTGTTGAACAGCATCTGGTTCTGGTCCACCCATCTAACTAATCTCTCTAGGTCCTCCTGGATCGTCAGCCTACCCTGTGGTGTGGCCACACTTCCCCACAGCTTACTGTCATTGGCAACGTTGCCAGTGTACTTTTCACCCCCATATCCAGATCATTGATAAAAATGTTGAAAAGCACTGGTCCAATTTTGAAAGGATTTTCCAAGCCAGCTATTCAGTTCAATACATTTTCCTCTCCTTATGCTTTGGCACTTGAAGAAAGAGTAGAACTCAAGGGATGAGATGGTATCTAAGGAAATGAGATAGAAAAGCTACAGAAATTGAATTTCCTCACAAAATAATTCCTCTATAAACTGTGTAAACTTTCCTCACTTAAACAAATACTCTAAGGCACAAGGGGTTCTACATTTTCAGTGAAACTCTCATGGTAACCTTTACTGCTATCATGACCATCCAAGAATCTTAGCAAAATACATCACATTTACCCATTGCCTGCTTTCTTGAACCAAGCAAAAGCTAGAAACTACCAAACCCTGCCAAACATTCCCAAAATATCAAAGTGTTTTAAAAAAATCATATGCCTGAATGCAATTAAACTTAAATATATGGAGTAAAGAAATAAGTAAATAAGAAAGATTTAAATAGGCACCAGACACCTCTCTCTCTGTCTCACTGTCTCTGTCTAATCACCTCTGCATGTTGTAATTATGCAAAAAAGATAACACTTGGCAAATAGTTTAAGTACTAGAATGTCAAAATGTAAATAAAAATGCTTAGTTAAGGACAATATGTAGTAATGTGTGTTTAATGCCTAAAGTTTCTTCCATTCTTGCAATATCCCAGGAGGCTGGTAGCAATTTAAATTTATATTTACAGGCCAAAATTTGAGGGCCATGGTCAAATACCAGTCACTGAGAACATAATTTATCTCTATGCTTCATGTTTCAACTAGCCGACAGTGCTTAGACCCATGCTTCAGCTAGCTGACAGTGCTTCAACCCATATAGCACATCTCCCAGATGCGTGACTCAGAGTTTGTGCCCTGGGCAGCAGACTCATACCTGCTAGATTTTGTGCCTAAAGGCACTGGAATGGAGGCAGCAAGAGGGGGCTTGAGGCTCTGGCCGTGCAGAGTGGAGCGTGTCGCTGACCACAGCCAAAGATTTATATGGCAAGCAATGGCGCAAAACCCCTAATTCAGGAGGCTGTGGGGCAAGAAAGGGTTAACCTGACTGTTGGCAGTGACACCTCCTATCACAGCAGCGGCATCTCCCACTTCCCACGGGGACAAAGGGTGATGCTGATGAGAGTACCCCTCTCTCACTCCACTCCATGCAACTGGAGCCTTGAGCCCCCTGGATTCCCTTCTGATGCCCCTCTTTACTGAACACCTGGGGCTTGTGCTGTAGTCATTCATTCTTGGTTATGCTGCTGACTCCTTTATACTCCCGCCCACTGTCTCAATATTTAAACATACATATTTACAGTTGCTAAACAAGAATTAGTGTGTCTAGCTCTAAATACTTGTTATATTTAACCCCCCCCCAAATCAA